CACACACACCCAACACACACACACACACACACCCAACACACACACACACACACCCACACACACCCACACACCCACACACCCACACACCCACACACCCACACACCCACACACACCCACACACACACACACACACACAGACACAGAGAGACAGAGAGAGAGACAGAGACAGAGACAAGCACACACACACAGACACACAGAGACAGAGACAAGCACACACACACAGACAAAGACAAGCACGCACACACACACACACAGGTGCCTGCCAATGCTACAGTACCTGTTGCTGTCATTCTCCGTAGCGGCTGTCTGTTTTGCACATGTGCATTTTCAAAACTTCCGATGCCACAAGGCTATACAAGGCTGGAAGCAGAATCGCAATTCTGGAATCCTGAAACTTGGGATGAGACGTCTTGGATTTGGAGATTTTCGTACGGCAAAATTTCGGAAATCCTGAAATTGAGAAGTTCGGGAGCTTTTGGCAAAGATTTTCACGTTAGATACTTTGGCACTTCAGAACATAATGGTACTTCCTTCAGTTTCAACTCTTGAATGTCGAGCATTCCAAAACTTGGGGCGAGACTGTTGAAAACTTTGAACCTGCATCTCCGGAACACCGATCGGTGAGGGATGGAGGAATTGGTGACTCAACTTGGTGCCATGTCCAACGATCGGGCGAGTGGCCTCGCCCGCGCTCATGACGAGCCTGAGCATGACACTTCATGGGAGTGGTGCTCGCTGTAGGAAGGACAGAAGCCGCGATGTGTGCAAACTGCGGTCGGTGGGATGTGTAAGGCAAAGGCTCAGAGTTCAGGGAGGACTTTAGCACCTCCAGCTCTTGACCTGACGCCAAGCGCACTTTGGTTGAAGGCCTTCGAAAGCGCCACTTGCCCTAAAAGCCTGCACTAAGCCCTCCAGTCTCACAAACACCCTCGCCAAACGCCCTAACCTTCTCGATGCGCCATTAAGCTCGATGCCGACATCTTCGAGTGCCCGCAGAGCCGTCGCCGCTTCGGCCGCAGCGCTGCGGAGGGCAGCGATTCGCCGCTCGCAACGGTCTGCCTCTTTGAGACATTTTGGGGGGCCAGTCCTCGCTTCCGAAAAACTGTAAGATATTTACCAATTTGCCAGCATACATACCAATTAGGAAGCTGATCGTCATGACTCACGGTCGCGCAGGGGAATCGGGCACTTCTCCACGGACGGATGCAAGCCCCGTCAGATTCCGGGCCTCGAGCCCCAGTGCGGCGCGGCGCGCTGCCGCGTCCGCACGCTGGGTCGCCACGTCAACGAGGCGCGACTGACAAGTGATTGTGTCTGGGAGCTTTTGGATCTCAGCAATCGTCTGAAGTTTGGATCTTGATATGATCTGTTCTCTCAAAACCATCACTGTCAATTGCAGTAACCAATGCTCTTCAGGAGCTCTGCATATTACCCACCAATCTGTGAGTATGTATCGGACTTGACATGTTGCTGGTGCATCAGTCCTCTTCAATATCGGAATTGACTCGGAACATGCACCTTTCACCTTCCATACTACCTGCTTTTGAACTGAAAGTCAGTACCCCGCCTTTTACAACATTCAGTAGACATTTCTTGGATCCTTTCGGTGCCGGCCTGTTGCTGCTGTAGTTTTGCAGGGATGTGGTTGCAGAAATCCGCCAGCTCTGCCTGCACCAACCAGATGATTGCTAAAAGATCAAAAGCAACCCGCCGCCATCAATACTCGTGTGGTCATGCGGATTCGAAGCGTATGACAATATAACCAGGAACCCCCCCCCCCCACATATAAAATTCCTTGCCACAAGGCAGTCGGTCAGGATGCCTTGGCTCAATCAAAAACCCCTGCAGGCCTCTTTGGAGCTGAGCTCGGCTGCGTGTTTTTCTTCCTGCAGGCGCCGTGAAAAAAGGCCGCTGTCTTCGTTTTGCAGGCCTAGGCCCGAGAGGCCTCCTTGACCTTTGCGGCGGAGCTCTGGTTCCGAGCCTGTCGGCGTGGGCCGACAGGCCGAGTGAAAGGGGAAACGAGCGACGAGCGAGGACGAGCGCAAAGCACGGCCTGCGCCTCGCGAAGCTGCGCTGACAGCTGCTCCACCTCTGTGGTCAGCTCATGCTACCAAAGTCACCCTACAGGCAGGCTGAATAGAAGAGCCAGTCAGTGTGACATCAGCAAGGTCGCACGCCTCGGCGACGCTTTGCCTTTCCAGCTCCTGAGAGCTGAGGAAAGGCATTCAAGACTTTCAGGCGCCGGTGCCGGCGTTGATATCTGCTGGCTCCGTTTGCATATTATCTCTTGAGCCTTGTACTTCCCCGCAATCTGCTCGTCCTATGGCCCAGGCCTCGCAGTGGGAAAGCTCTGCGTGGACCTCGGTGCTCCTGAAGGCGGCACAGGCGGCAGGAGGCTTTTCCTGCAGGCCCTCCATTCTGAACTCTCTATCTTGATCACGTGTTTCTGCTTGTCTCTCCAGCAGACGAGGCCTCAAACATGTCACCTGCTTTCGTCGCACTGGTGTTGACAGACAGGGCTTAGGCAACATGGTACTGCACGCTGCTAAGCTAATGTACGGACGCCATGAGTCCAATTCAACCTTGCATGCATTCAACATGTCAGAAATTTTCACATTGCATCCGCAGCACAGAACATTTCGATGCAGGGGGGTCTCCTAGTCTTAACCGTTTAAACAAAGAGAAGACAAGACCAAAGACAAGTTTGTACCGGCCTTGTTGTGTCCCCAGCCATTGCATGCAGACTCCGGCAGAGCTCCTGTGCATTCACCCATCTTGGATGTAGAATCTGTGTTCTGATCCAAACATCATGACAAATGCCCGCAATCTCCCGTCAAGCAACCACCAACAGCGCCGTCGAATTTGAGTACTACACCATGTGTTGCAAACCGGAAATGTTCAGCACGGGGATCAGTCTCAAATTGGTTTCGAGGTTCAGAGTGCTTACGTCTCGGCTGTCCTGGACGTCCTGACCCAAGATGCCTGGCAGGCTTCTTCGAAGGCGTGGAGTTCCCGCCGTTATGTGTTCAATCCTACCGCAAATAAGTGCCGGAATGGCCGTACTTGACTCGCCGCTGGTCAAGGCTGACGACCATGCCCTGACGTCTTTGAGAACATGCGTGTGTAAACACTCCAGGAATAGGAGTAAGAAGGATGGGGTGCAGGACAGGTGTGTGGGCGCTTACACGTACACTTCAGTCAGAACCCTGTTGCGGGCCTGACCTTCCCAGTGCTTCTCAGGCGACTTAGGGGCTCCTGCGGTTTGGGGAACACAAAACACCCTGAGTCCCGGTTCCGAGTCCGTCCCGGGTCAGCTTTTTGCAGCGAGTGCTGAGACACATTTGCAGAGCTCATCGGTATCCGCGGAACATGCTCTTCTCGAAGACCTCTCTTGGAAGCTTCTTCTGTTGTGTGACCACGAAGCCCTGGGCCTCCAGGAAGTCCCGTATGCGCTTCCGGCCGACAGAACGCAGCTCTTCATTCGCTAAGCGAATCTTTTTGGACAGCTCCTCTATCTCCATGACTTCGAAACGCAGTAGCTTCTCATACAACTTCCGGTCGCCACGGATCGTGTCTGCCAGAAGCTGCTCGGTCTTTTCAACCTTCGCCTTGTAGGCCTCGGCTTTTGAGAGTGCCTTGATGCCCTTGTCCACGGTCTTCTTGGCCTGCCTGGCGGTCTTTTGCCTGTCCTGCAGGCGCTGGGCCAAGGTTTTTCGCTTCTGGGGCTTGGCCTTTGCCCGAGCTTCAAGCGATCTACCCCGCCTACTCAGGGATGCCCTCTCGGGCTCCGACTTGGGCATCGCCCTGTCTGGCGTTGACTTCTTGGGCGTCAACTTCTTGAGTGTCGCCCTCTCCGGCGTCGCTCTCTCTGGCGTCGCCTTTTTCGGCGTTGGTTTCTTCGGCGTCGCCTTCTCCGGTGTCGCTTTCTTGGGTGTTGCCTTCCGGGGTGTTCCGTGATCGGGCGATGTCAATCGTGGCCTGGCCTTTGTGAGTGCTGTCTCCTGAGGCGAGGCAATCAAATGGCGTCCTCGCTTGACTTTGGGAGTCAGCTCTTGCGGAATCGGTATTTCCACGACATCGCTGTCGCTTCCAAGAGTCGCAGGGCTAAGCCGAGGTGTGGAAGTAAGGCAAGCTGCAAACATCAAGCTCAAAGGGAGCTCTTCTTCGTCCTTCAGCGTTTGCTGCGGTTCGGCTGCAGTTAGATCCGCAACTTCTCCGGAGAAAGCTGCAGAGCTGAAGCTGGTAGTATGACGTGGCGAGGGAGGAAGCTGTGGAACCGACTCATCCAAGAGAGGAGCCTCAGCTACGGCTGGTGCTGGAAGCAAACATGGGCTTCTCCTCGACGACTCGTCTTCGGTGGAGCTGACATCAATCTCAGTAGCCGTGATGCTGTCCTCTCCAAACTGCTTTTGGGAGATTCCATGAGTGGTCATGCAACTTCGCACCTGATTGCGCTCTGAGACTCCAAACACGGCCTATTGTGCCTACTGCACTGTTGTCTACCGTTCGCAGGCATGCAGGCTTGTGAGGGCAACAGTAGTGGACTGATGTCTTGCGATCTATCTTCTTTCCTGTGCCGCAGACAGCAGGTTTTGAAATTTTACAGGTCGGCGGCTTATGCCATGCTCCCTGATTCACACAAGGCCCTTGTCGCTCAGCTGGAGCAATCTTGGGCAGCTGCAGCCGCGGTCGTGCAAAACAAAGATTATAAGCACACCCTCAGCACAGCTATCAAGTTGCATTTTTCCCCCCCNNCCCCCCCCCCCCCCCCCCGCACACAGCTCTCCGTTCCTCCAGGCCGTTCCGAAGGCCGTCCATCTGACAGAAGCCACATGTTGCGCTCTTCACAGCACAAGGCTTGCAAACACCAGCTGCTCACCCTTATCTTACAGATGTCTTCGAAGCTCTCTGCCAGGCCTTGAGGCCGAGTGCGCAGCGGCTCTCTGCAAGCTTCCCCAGCTGCGCACAGAAATCCTACAGTCAAGGCTCAGAGAACCCGTGATGACAGGGAATCAGGGAAGCTTATGACATGTGAAGCTGGTGCGGACAAAGACAGCTTCCTTAGCCCCGGGTCCTGCAAAGTCTCCTGATTGACGCACGGCTCCTTTGCCAACAGATGGGCTTTCCTAAACTGGGGTACCAGCTTCAGGCACCCATCTCCATCTTGCTGTGTACACGAACAGAAGCTTCAAGACTTACAGCCCCATCTTAATAAGGATGGGAGCTGAAGCCCTGGTCTTCTAGGTCTTGCCCCCGGGTCAACAGCATATACTGTGATAAGACACCAGATAGCCAGCCGATTGCAAGACTTGACTAGATTGCTAATCGTTTCCGAGCCTGCAGAGCAGCGAGCAGTCCTTGGCCAAGCCACCAGCAGCGATGTGATCGCCCTGCGCTTGACCTTGAGAGCACTCGTTTGCAACCTGTTAAGTATCCTGCTTGTCTAGCAGTCTAGCAACAGCAGGGTCTCCGTCAGATCGAGAAACATCGAGGTGCCCACAGTGTTCCTGCGTCTGCGAGACATGGCCGCTAGCACCCACCTTGCACAGTGCAGCTTGTGTTCGTGCATTGTGATCAGGTACGTAAGACGTATGAACATGCGCACACACCTGCATGCATACATACCCAATCTTCAATTGTAAGCATACATACGTACAGGCATACGTACATATATCCATGCATGCATGCTTACATGGTACATACTGTGTACTTCACGCGCATGTACATCGTACATAGATATTATGCCATGTGACAGGTAGCTAGCCATAGGCAAAGCTGCCGCACGATCCACCTTTGCACATCGGCAGCTGTACAAACTGTAGCCCTGCCTGGCAAGCTTCAGAGTGTCGCATCAGCACCTGCCGAGCAGGGGTCAAGGAAGGATATCTTTAAAGGGCAAGAAATGGCAAAAAGCAGCCTGTAGCGGTTGAATGGGAATGCAATAGAATTTTCAGGCGTCTGCAGGTGCAGTTCAGGACATTGCAGATTGGACAGAGTGATCCTCTCCATAACCATAGCTCCACAGCTGCCAATCGCAGACCTGGCCTCGAGAATATGAGCACGTGGGCCTCAGCCGAAAATGCACTTGTGAAGGGGACATTTAAGCTTCGCTGAAGTTGCGCTGAAGCGCCATGCCAGGAGCAACGTGTACGAGGTGGAAGAGAGATGAGGATTGATCTATTGATCTGCTTCTGAGGCCCCTGCCGAAAGCCTCCAACTGTGGCGGCTCTCGGGTGGCCTATCCCAAGGGCAGATGAGTGATTTCATCGCAGCTGCCAAAAATCGCGCGACCGACCTCGTGGTTGGCCTCCTTTGCCAGGCGCAGGAGCACGCGAGATGCCCGAACACGCACCTTCGCGAAGCCAATGCCATGCGATGCGTGTGCATGGAAACATGGCTCATCCAATTGCTGGGCATGCTTCAGCTTCAGGGCATCTCGGGATTGCGGCTTTCTGTCTCATGGCATACCCCAGACGAACGAGCCGCGGAAACCGCCCACAGTGCATCGGATCAACGAAGACTTGGTCGCTAGGCATGTCGTAGCTCAAGCCGCTCCTCTCTCGTGAAACCTGGACTTGCTTTATTGCCAATTACTTGTACACAAACATACTTAATGGCGCTGGCCTCCTCCCGAGTCACCTGCTGTGGAGGCGGCTCACCGGCGGCTGCGCCTCCAACGCCGCCTTCGACCATCTGCCCATCCTCGTCGCCCTGTGCTGGGGTCGGGGAGAGGCACTTTCTAGACAGCCCAAAGCATGAACAACACACACAATGTTGCTCTGTCGTTCGTATGGTCCGCCCGCCAAACATTAGTGGACGCCCTGAAAGCGTGCGTGCGTGCGTGCGTGCGTGCGTGCGTGCGTGCGTGCGTGCGTGCGTGCGTGTGTGTGTGTGTGGGTGCGTGTGTGTGTGTGTGTGCGTGAGATGAGAAGCACCACCTTGGTCGACTGGTTAGCACTACGTTCTTATTGGAATACTACAAATGATACTGTAAGTATAGTATAGTACTTAATACATTAGTACTAGTGCGAGTAACGGCGGAGTTAGCAATTACTACCAAGTAAGACTAATACTAGCAATACCTAGTATTGGTAGCAATCATGCAAGTGGAGCTGGTTCCAGACCTCTCGGGCCTCAATCAACACATCCTCTTCTAAGATGCTCAGAATCCAGGTATGGCCCACCCTCCCGCTCCACCAGATGGACGAAGCATTCCTACCCGCTTTCCAAAGGACGCCCCGAAAATGGCCAGTGCCTGAACAGGCACAAGCCCTCTAATTTCGGACTGTGCAACATCAGTCAAAGGTTTGAGTTCCTGCCATGTGGATGCCTCCACAAGCTTCTGCAGCTGCGGCATGAGAGGAAGCAGGTCGTGGATTCTCGCAGAATCCTGGCACGAGCGGATTGATGCAAAAGGTCGGACATGCGTTTCCAAGGATCGACAGATCACTGGTGATTTCACTAGTGACTTCACCCCGCTTTAAGAAGCAGCAAACATCCACTCTGCTCCCCACCACATGTGAAGATCGGATTCTGACGAGCAGGCGCTGATGAGCCCACCAAATGCGGTTTCAGGCGCTCCCGGAAACCAGTTTCGGAAAGAGTCAGCCCTCCTTTCTAGTGGCATTGACAATGGCAGTCGGAGTAGCAGCCTTCCCAGGGCCCACCCACCTTCATTAACCTCGTAGTGGACGTAACTTTAATGTGACTAGTTGAACTAACGGGTCCCGGAATGAACCTCAAACTTTCTTGGAATACCTACATTGTCGGCTGCTACCAATGCTGCTAACCCCAACTTACTCTACCTACTTGTCGAGCTACTCGTCTGGTCAGCGGCCACCCCCTACGATTTGTCCTGCAGTTTTATGCCGGACAAAATCTTCAATCAAGGTGGTTTCTGTTAAAGGCCTGCCAGGACAGATGCAGCAAGCGCAAAATCAAAGCAAAACTGTGCAAGGCATGAAGGCTCCTTGTCCGTACACTGCTGTACATAATGGTCGAGGATGGCGACCATACAAGCAGTCACCTTGGTTTGACATAGCTTGACTCTTGGAAGGAGGCCATACTCTGGTGTGCAGGCTACAAGATGAGGCAAGAGTGACGAGAGAGACGTACTGAGAGATGCGTCACTGTCGACAAGTGCCGATCAGGTCTCCGACCGTGTCCACCCCACCATAATCGTCCTCAGGCTGCGTCTCAAGCCATGACCAGGGCAGTGGTATCCTATAAGAACACACTGCGCCGCGTGTATTTTTTGCTGTTCAGGGAAGAAGTTGCTAGCCATTAATTTACCTAGTCAACAGCTGTGCCAGGCAGCAGGCCTTTGCATGGCATGCACCGAGTAACATCTGCATCCGCGATAGCTCCTGTGGGTCGCGTTTGCTCAAGGCAGCTTTGGCAAAGGCCCAAAAGCTGGTGGCGCCAGGTCTTGGGACCAGTATCATGCTGCATGATAGGTTTCGGGTACGAGCGATCGATGGTCTGCTAGCTCGTCGGGGTTATACCTCAAGTGGCAGCGCAGTGACGTTCTGTCATGACAATACTTTTGTCAAAGTACAGTTTCACCGACAGCAGGCTCGATCGATGCTTGGCTTTGGGGTGCATAGGAGTTGGTGGTCACATGCCAACGGGCAGGTCGGGGCCTTGCTGGAACAAATCTCGCCCAGCAGCTTCACCAGGGCTGGATCCTGGTCGGAATGAACTGCCACGGAGGAAGCCTGTGGAGGGTCATCCCGAGCCCTCCGCTCGCTGTGGAACTGGCAGCTTGGAGGCCGCAGATTTCGAATCGGCCGCAGAGTCGCTGACCGCGAACTGCCGGGTTTCCAACATTCGAGATGCCACGGAAGCTCTGATGGCATTCAGCCTCATTCTTGTCATCTGCCTTGTTCTTGCTGCCGCCTTAGTCTGGTGGCATGCACGTTGATCTCTGCAACTGTGCAACGCGGTTTGCGCGACGAGATTGCTTCAATTTTAGGTTTTTTATTTGTCAGAAGCTGTTGCAATGCCTTCTGCGAGTTCGTCACTAAGGCAAGAAGAGATCACATGTTATCGTCGGCATAGCCTGATTGCATACTCTATGCCAAACCTTGCAGGAGCTTTCCTGGGGCCCCCGACGCCGCAAACGCGATTCAAAGGAAGAATGCGACACGGTCTCCTTGGCGTCTCGGAAGTCCGACGGCTACAGGACCCTCAACCTCCCGAAAGCCCTTTCCAAACCGCCGGCAGCTCTTGTTCTACCCCGAAGGCGCAGCCGCCGAAAGCTGAGGCAACAACTGATTCCTTCCGAAACGATTCGGGCTCGGAGGCCTTGCTTGCAATGCGCACTCCTATGACTATATAGTATAATATAATATAGTATAATATAACATAATATAATGTACTCCTATCTCCTGCATTCTGTTACTCCTTCCGCGGGCGCTGTCAGCTCCGAGGAGTCCACGGGAAGGTTCGCCAAGGACTGAGGCTTCGCCAGCTCCCGGAGGGAACCTCAAAGCAGGAGCTCAAAGCCCTCTGCTTATCAGAATCCTGGGATACTTGCTAGTGAAGAATTCATTGGCTGACTTGAGCTTCTCTTGGCTTCCCAAATCACTACTCCACAGCGTCAGCGCAGGGGCCTTTCTGCAAGTCCTCCTTGGCTGCAGCAGCAAGGGCTGCTTCCTGCGTGGGCGGTTCGTACTGCCGCCCTGAAGTCTAACTACAGTGAATGCTCGGATCATGCACTGCGAGCCCCCGTAACGTACTCTTATCCATGCGGCTTTGTTTTCGCAGAGGGTGGTGCCTCAGCAGCGTCCAGCTCCGAGGGGAGAACGGCTAACGCCTGCCAGCTTTCTGAATCAGGCGGCAATGCTGTTCCTCGTTTTGTCTCTAGTTTTGACTTCTTGGTGGATCTCCGGAACAGCTTGATGTAACGCCGTGGACACGGCCACGGCCATGAACATGCTCGGCTGCACCCGAAGACAAAAATCTCGAGTGTCGGCATCCAGGGCACCCTCGTAGCCTCGGCATCTCGGTTTCTCGTCCCTTTTGTGTAACAGCGGCTCAAATCACTCGATGTGGCTTGAACGGGTGTGCTCTACTCCTCCATACTCTGTCGGGCGCAGGTGCTGCAGCCAGTTTCATCTTGATGAGGCTTGAAAGTTGCTTCATGTCGAGATCTTCGAACGTCACCGCCTCCAAAGCTCAAGGGTAGTTCATGACTAAGGGTTCAACCAGCCGCGTTACTCAACCTAAACCATTTGTCTCTTGTTTGGTCCAGATTAGAGTTGGATCTTCACTTCCACTTCTACTGGCACGAAGATCACTTGGAAGTCTGCGGGAATGAAAATGATGAAGATGATGGAGATGATGAAGATGATGAAGATGATGGAGATGATGAAGATGATGGAGATGACGCAGATGATGGGGCTGATGAAGATGATGGAGATGATGAAAGTGATGGAGATGATGGAGATGATAAACGTGATGAAGATGATGGAGATGAAGGAGTTGATGAAGATGATGGAGAAGATGGAGATGATGGAGATGGTGGAGATGATGAAGATGATGCAGATGATGGAGATAGCCATGATGGAGATGATGAAGGTGATGGAAATGATGGAGATGATGAAGATGACGAAGATGAAGAAGATGATGGAGATGATGGAGATGATGAACACGATGAAGACGATGAAGATGATGAAGATGATAAAGATGATGGAGATGAAGGAGTTGATGAAGATGATGGAGAAGATGGAGATGATGGAGATGATGAAGATGATGGGGATGATGGAGATGATAGAGATGATGGAGATGATGAAGATGATGAAGATGATGGAGATGATGGAGATGACGGAGATGATGGAGATGATGAAGATGAAGGAGATGCTGAAGATGATGGAGATGATTGGGATGATGGAGATGAAGGACATGATGGGGATGATGGAGATGATGGGGATGATGGAGATGATGAAGATGATGGAGATGATGGAGATGACGGAGATGACGGAGATGATGAAGATGATGGAGATGATGAAGATGATGGGGATGATGAAGATGATGGAGATGATTGGGATGATGGAGATGATGAAGATGATAGAGATGATGAAGATGATGGAGATGATGAGGATGATGGGGATGATGGGGATGATGGAGATGATGAAGATGACGAAGATGATGGAGATGATGAAGATGATAAAGATGATGGAGATGATGAAGATGATGGAGATGATGGAGATGATGAAGATGATGAAGATGATGGAGATGATGGCGATGATGAAGATGAAGGAGATGCTGAAGATGATGGAGATGATTGGGATGATGGAGATGATGGACATGATGGGGATGATGAAGATGATGGGGATGATGGAGATGATGAATATTATGGAGATGATGGAGATGACGGAGATGACGGAGATGATGAAGATGATGGAGATGATGAAGATGATGGGGATGATGAAGATGATAGAGATGATTGGGATGATGGAGATGATGGGGATGATGAAGATGATGGGGATGATGGAGATGATGGAGATGACGATGATGATGGAGATGATGGAAATGATGGAAATGATGGAGAGACGGAGATGACGGAGATGATGAAGATGATGGAGATGATGGGGATGATGGGGATGATGAAGATGATGGAGATGATGAAGATGATGGAGATGATGGAGATGATGGAGATGATGAGGATGATGGGGATGATGGGGATGATGGAGATGATGAAGATGACGAAGATGAAGGAGATGATGAAGATGATGAAGATGATGGGGATGATGGGGATGATGAAGATGATAAAGATGATGGAGATGATGAAGATGATGGAGATGATGAAGATGATGGAGATGATGGAGATGATGGACGTGATGGAGATGATGGAGATGCTGGAGATGATGAAGACGATGGAGATGATGGAGATGATAGGGATGATAAAGATGATGGGGATGATGGAGATGACGATGATGATGGAGATGATGAAGATGTGAAGATGATGAAGATGACAGCGATGATGAAGATGATGGAGATGATGAAGATGAAGGAGATGATGAAGATGGTGAAGATGAAGGAGATGATGGAGAAGATTGGGCTGATGGAGATGATGGAGATGATGGGGATGATGAAGATGATGGAGATGATGAAGATGATGGAGATACGCCATGATGGAGATGATAAAGATGATGGAGATGACGGAGATGATGAAGATGATGGAGATGATGGGGATGATGGGGATGATGAAGATGATGGAGATGATGAAGATGATGGAGATGATGAGGATGATGGGGATGATGGCGATGATGAAGATGACGAAGATGATGAAGATGATGAAGACGATGAAGACGATGAAGATGCTGGAGATGATGGGGATGATGAAGATGATGAAGATGATAAAGATGATGGAGATGATGAAGATGATGGAGATGATGAAGATGATGGAGATGATGGAGATGATGGAGATGTTGGAGATGATGGAGATGCTGGAGATGATGAAGATGATGGAGATGATGGAGATGATGGAGATGATGAAGATGATGGAGATGATGGCGATGATGGAGATGATGAAGATGATGGAGATGATGAAGATGATGAAGATCATGAAAATGATGATATGAAGGGATGTGGTGAGGCGGTGAAGGGGTGGAGGAGAAGGGGTAGAGGTGGGGTGACGAAGACTTTGCCAACTACCCCGAGCTTCCGACGCACGATTGCACCGATGCACAAGGAAGCAAGGACCTCGGCCAAAGACGAGGCATAGCACAGTCTAGATGCTCCCCGCCCTTCGAGACTTCTGGCGACAGGGTGCAGTATCGCACAACTTTTCCAATAGTGTAAGAGCGCTCGCGCACCATGTCAGCAGGAAAAATGTCTTTTACAGAGAACTGGTCCCTGCTGAGAGTCGACGGCAAAAACGAGACCAGCAATGGCCTTCCGATCCATGCTCACAGTCCGACACCTGCCAAAGTATTCTTGACAAACGTAGCCTTGCGCTCCTCGATCTGACCCTCGGCGCTCTTGATCTTGTCCTGCATGGACTGCTGAACCTTGGCCCTGAAGTCGGCGGCCTTCTTCTCGCGCTCGGCTGCCTTGGCGGTCATCTGGGCCTCGATTGCAGCCTCGGTCTTCTCACGAGCCTCAGCCAACTCCTTGGCCGCCTTCTCACGGGCCTCCTTGATCTCGGCGGTGTATGTCACCTGCATCTCGTCAGCCTCGGCGAGCATGTCGGTGGCATCGGAGAGAGTCTGCAAGAGCTTGGCGTTGCGCTCCTCCATCTCCTCGCTAACAGGAGCGTAGAACAAGGCGTTCAAGACGGTCATCAGGAGCAGGAAGCTGCCGGCCACGAAGGGAAGCGTCAGGCCGAAATCGAACATGCCACCAGCATGGGCCGGAGCAGGCAAAGACGCCACCAAAGCTGCGCTACCCGCTGTCAGCAATTGGTCCCTGGCCGGGGGAGTGCTCTGTGTGGGCGGCATGACGAAGGTGGGGAGGCTGCAGCAGGCGGCCACCAGCAGCAGCACTGCCAAACCCGAAGAGCGACGCTTGGTGACGAACATGGCGAGAATGTGAGATGCTGTGCTAACCCTCTAAGACACGATGCGCCAATGGTCCATGTGCCTGCATGACCCCACACAAGTCTCTGCTGCAGGCCAAGGCAGTCCGCGCCAAGCACTGGACGAAAGCGCAAGGCCGTACAAGGCAACGCAAGGCCATGCCTTCATGACAGCAGAACCGCACGCAGAGGCTCTCAAAGGCCCCTGCCCGAGCGCCCAGGTCCACCGACTGGAGGAGGCGCCCAAGCAGCGCCAAGCCCCGAGTGGAAGAGGCTGGCGCAAGATAAAGTCGTACAGGGCTCTACGCTTGCAGCTTACAAGCATGCAGCCCACCTCCTTGTACTCCAGCCAGAGCTGTAATCACCTTAGCCGAATGTAGCCTAAAATGTAGCCTTGATCCTGCCTCCAACTGTTCGGGTATCCGCCAAGTTCTTCAGCACAACACGCACGCTGAGAGGGTGACCCCGCCGCAGCGCAGCCCGTGCCAAAGCAACCACGCGCAAACCGCATGGAGCGAGGTGGACTGCAGGGGATGTTACTGAAGTTTGCAGCCGTTCTCATTCGCACTCTCTTTGTTCTTGCCTCTTGCCGGCGAGAACCGTGCACAGGAGTCATAAATACAAGACCCCAGACTTGCATATCGTCGAATCGTGATATGGATCACAACCCCTGCCCCGTCGGTGGCCTCCGCTGTAGTGAGACGCTTGAGGGCTTCAAGGGCTCCATCCTGCATACGAGCAACCGCAGTGCGCCCTTGGCAGAGTGTGGCAGAGGACCACCTGCTGGCAAAAGTAGAGCAAAGCTTCTCCGTGGCTCTCCTGCTGTCATTCTTGGGCGAAGCAGGCGCTGCAGCGAAGGATCTTTTGCAAGAAAATGGTCTGCTTCGAGCAACTATGCAGTTCACTGCGGGCAGTGTCGGGGCTCCTGAATCAGCCTTTTCAGGCAGTCAGTGGCCGCAAAACCTGAGCCAAAGCAAAAGTACACGGAACGACAGCTGCGACAGCACAAGGGGTCACGGTGTGGCTTCATGATTTGTTGTACACGAGCACTCACAAGTCATGCACCCTTCACACAGTATTCGCTGGACTTGACCCCGGGCTGAGAGTGCTGCAACCATTTCTGTGGTTCTCGGAGGCCGCGGCTCCGGCGGCAACCTGCAACAAAACGCCTTTTCACAAAAGTTGTTCGGTCGGAGCTTTTGCCACTCTCAGTGGCCCCCGGTCTAGTCACACTTGCCGAGGAAGGGCACTGACACTTGAAAGCCTCAATCGAGGCAGCGAGTCAGCCTGATCCTCCGTTGCGCGCCAAAGCAGCGCCAACAACGCTCCGAACCTCCGTCTGGTTGTGTCGACGAGGTTGATCAGTTTTCAAATCACTCTTTCATACTCTTTCGCTCCGGTTCAACTTGTGACCGTCATCACACTTGCATACTGCTCGTGTCGTCCTTTCCCTGCGATGTGACCAGGGCCCCAGCAGACCCGACTTCACGACATTCTGCCGAGCGGCATCGTAACAAATAATCTTCATCCTCACTTGTGGAAGGGGTTGCTTGCTCTGCAAGACCTAGTAGGACCTACAGTATGTGCCACTGTGTCGTCGGCAACCGGGCTAGAAGACATATGCCTCCAGACAGCACCTCAAGTGGTCATCAACGGTCCCGGGTTCCGCACAAAATGAAACAAAGGCGCATCCGGTTGAACAGGCGCATCTGCAAAAGGCGTTGAGTCTGGTACTGCGCAGCGCAGGAACACCACACTAGCTTGTCCTGGCCTGCAAGACTTGCTGTGCCTGCTGAGACGCAGAGGCAGCTGCCTGCGGTCGACTCGTTGTGTAGTGACAAGCTGAGTCAAGCATTCGATGAAGTTCTTGGTAGAAATTGGTCTTTCATCCGACGTGGCATGCCCGTGCAACTGACTACACCGAGGCCCGAAAACAACCCCTAGAGTTCAGAAAAGGTCGTAAAGGGTTGCGTGGGTGGCTCCGTGTCTTCGCTTGGATGTGCCCTGCCTCGGATGCTTCTGCTAACGCAAAATTCGCCAACTCCTGGCCACTTCAGAATCGGTTGGCTGTCGCTACACGTTTAGACCTGCTCACATGCTCCAACTGCAACGAAGGAGCTAGCTCGACCCCCTCAAGATTTTGGTGCAAATCACCGATGCAGCATGCAATTCCGTAAGACTCTCAACTCTTGCTGAAGCATCAACCATCTCCACGAGAGGCACACATAAAGGCTCCTGATGCTTCCGAAGAGCCCTTAACTTTGAGAATCACCAGCAGTCTGACAAGGACGCAAGGACGTGGGTAGTACCAGACAGGACCCTGTCGTGCTATGTCTCACTCTCTTACATATCTTACTATCGAACTCCGGTTCTCCTCGAGCACCGAGGAGTCGCAAAGGCGGAAGATCTCTACCTGTGGATCAACTGCAACTGCTCAATCGTTTCCTCCTCTGGTAGAGTAGCTGATGTCGCGTTGCATTGTCAGTTTCTTCCCACCAGCTGGAACACTTAGTCAGCAAAGGCTCTCCGACTACATATCCACTTGTTTTCGGCCTCTTTGTCCGCCACGGCCCTCTTTAGGGCCTCAGTTCCAGGTGTGAGCTGCCGTAGTGCCGGAGGGAAAGAAACCGAAAGCCACCAACCTTGCTTGCTTGCTTGCTTGCCTGCTTGCTTGACTGGTTCTTAAAGACTTAAAGATATGCACAGCCAGCCCAGTGCCAAGTAGCAGAGAGGCACTTGTCTGCCGCCGCATGTGTTGGCTGTCGGCAGAGAAACCTGCAGGCAAAGTGCTCATCAACGTGAACCACTATCTACGCAAGTCAGCATGGATGTCAGCGGATACTTTGAGGATTTGGGACTTCCACCAGCAAGACTCAAGCGCTAGCGTCGAAGGTGTCCCCCCGCCTTGGCACCACTGCCGTCGCTTCGTCGGCATCCAGGAACGCCCAAATCATGCCATCCTGCAAGGAGACATGTGCGTTCTTCAAAGAAATTATTGTTCAACGCCTGTAGCTTAGCCCACGCAAATCCGTCACGTGATTCATTCCTTCTTGATTGTAAAAACACGGGACATCCACAAGCGTGCACGGTCGCCCGTCCTGGATGACAGCTGGGAGCATCAACAAAGCTCTCAGATAGTCCTCCAAACTGACATTGCTCGCACAACATCACCTGGAGTGGCTTCTGAATGGCCTGCCTGAACCAGACAGTCTACTAGTAACCATAGAGCATCTGAACATATTGAGGCAGGTTCGCCCGGTTGGCAAAGGGCTCCTCTAGCATCTGCCGCCGACGATCCACAAATGCCTCAAACACCATGCCAGCTGCCGAGCCGTGCCCAACACAGTCAAAGAGTGAGTCCAAGTTGCCTGGTCCCTGTTGCCAAAGAGCTTCTTCGGAGGGAGCTCGGGCCTGGGGCGGGGCTGAGCCCTCAGCCGACCGTTGGTTTCAATTTTTCACGGCTAACGAACTTGAGCTATGACGCGAATTATTTTGTGCATCGACATCAGGTATACGATTCACACCGGACATCACCGGACTGAGCGATGTCCGACATGTTCGCAAGGAACGGCCTGAATGCCATCAAGCTGTCGAAAACTATGTTCGCCTATGCTGTAACTTATGCTGTTTGTAGACATAAGTTGCGGCCAGTGCAGCTCTCTAAAATGTATCTCTTCAGCCTGACTGAGTTGTGGAAGGTTTCAAAACGAGTGGATAACCCTGAAACTACCGAATTGCTACCTGTGCAGCTCCGTACGGGCAGCTCCTCACGAAACAGTGTTGGTCACTGGCAATAGCATCTACCAAATGCCGAAGCTTCTCTGTTGACTGCTTCATGCAAACGACGAGTTCTGTAAGATCTATAAGGCAATCTCGCTGGAAGCTGGGTACGTATCCGAAAGATGTCTCAGAGTGTTTCGTTTCCTGGAAGTTCTGATTGCACTGGATCTAGATGGCTTGAACAGCCCAGCAAAAGCAGGCCCCGCAGAACATTGCACAGTTCACATCGGGTGCTCCGGCAGGGCGCATGCCAGTTCTTTCCGGCGGAGCTCTGCATGGAGCCAGGCAAACATAGTGTACCTCTGTCAGACAAGCTCAAACTATGACTGCAGCATAAGTCAACTTCTTGAGTAGGATCGGCTATCAGGTCTTGGAGCAGTGATGGGTGCCTTTGCCTTGAGGGGGTTGGGAGATAATGTGATACCACCACGGTCTGTCAAGCTGCTTCTGTCTTTGCAAGCAGCTTGGGCAACGAAGTTCACTTTCACTCAGGTGGAATGCCCCCCCCCTACACACAAAGGATCACGAAGGCCTGCGCGCTCGCGTGAACACCTTCCCACAATCGTCGACCTCGATGAGGTACTGGGTGTACCGAAGCCTCATTGAAGTTGGCTTTGAAGGGATTCTCCTGCCCTCGGGTCGGGCCCTGAGCACTAACAGTCACAACAGCTACTCAACTCCGAGCATTTCGCGTGCAATACTCGCAGAAACCGATCCCTGACTCTGACTCTAGGCCAGAGAAACTGGAAGTTTCTAAATAGTGCGAGGAAACGGCTTGTGCCCATGAGCAATTCCCACTTACGAGTAACAACATTAAGAAGCTCTGGAGGAGTGATGAAGCCTTTACTGTATGACTGCAAACCAGGCGCCCGATGGTGCCACCGTTCATCTCAGCCTGTGGGATCTTGATGACCAGCGGGTACCTACAGAACGCTGAGAGGAAACGCAACGTGCAAAGATACTCAAAGGGAATCCATGAAGCAGCAGGCCTCCCATAGGCACCCAGAATGTCTCGGTCGATCCCGGGCCGGTCCATAATGTTGGAACCACCTTCCAACGGGTTTAGATAAATCTCAGACAAGGATTTTTTTCCATTGAGCTGTCACTACATCATCCAATTGACTGCAGCATTATGTCACAACTTCGAAATGACCCTTGAAGTCTCCAGCGATCCCCCCCAACGGCTGCAACAGTGGAAGCGCTCGCAAGAGCTAGCAAGCACTCTTGATGTCGATGGCCTGTGCTACGGCTACCCGGATCGGGTGTCGGCCGCAGTTCAGGAGCGACAGCGAGACTGATGTGTTGGCATGTCTGCTGCGTTAGCTGTTAGCTCTTGTGGTCTGGCGAGGTGGGGTGTGGTGGACCGTGTCCTGAGGACTCGGTCAGGGCTTGGCTTCCGCAGATTTGCTGGCAAAATGTGTCCATGCGGCCAAGCTTGAATGGCTGAGAAAGGACCAGCGCAAAGTCATGGCCCGAGCTCGTCCACGCTGTCCCCGTGACTAGCACCAACAGATCTAACCATCCGCTACAGCCGACCCGCTACAGCCGACTATGAGTAACACTCTAACGAACATCGAGCGCCTTTGACCTCCAAAAAAGCTTCTCAACTGCCGCGGACACAACATATGCTTCAGGCTATGCGACATCTATGGAAGCTTGGGCGAAGGACTCTGGAAGCCTTTCTGCAAAGTCAAGCACTCTTAAGTCTTCACATTACATGATTCATTGAACACGGTGCATGAAAACATGTCCATGCGTGTTGTGGACGGGAGAAATCTCAATCTAAGCGCAACAAACATTCTTTTATTGGCCATCTGTCTTTGGTGCTTGAATCACAGCACGGGACTTAGGCAGGTAGCTCACGGCTGATGAGCTGGCTCATAGCATGCCCAAGAGCCTGGCATGTGTAGTGTGGCATAACGGTGGTTTTGTAGCGTCTAGGGTCTTCCAACCTCTGCCAAACTTCAAACTTATTCTGCTGCCTGCGCTGTCTACTAATTAGCCTACCAGTTCAAGCGTCCACTGCAGCTGTCATCCCCGCGCATCTCAGATCTCAGGCCGTCATGCTCAGTTCTTCGGGCCCGGAGGCAATTTGGTGAAAGCCACAGAACTATGAACCTATGCACTTGGTTGCTGCGGAAGCAACAAGCAACAACAAAGATGATGACTGTGCTAGACGTCAAATGCTCCTCAAGACCAACTCCCAGAAGGCGAAGCATGTTTTGATAGTCTACATTCTCATTGTCCATGGCTCCGAGGACTGGACCCAAGAAGCTTCCATCTGCAAGTCGTTGTGCAGGAGCTTCTTGACCACCAGAAGCCTAAGGTGGGCTGAAGCAGGTCCCGATCTCGGGGGCACAACGACCCGCTTCATGTGAGTATGCAAGCCACACGGTCGAATAAGAAATTGTGCGCGATGCCATGCGCAGTACCTGAGCCTGTAGACCCACATGTGAGCAAAGCCTTGCAAACCGACTTTGTCATATCGTACTTTAATATGTATGTATGTATGTATGTATGTACATATATATATATTATTATATTATAGAGTGATCATTATATTACGTATATAATAGGGTATTGATGTGAAGGCCCCGGCTCTTTGGCCTCTGGGAAGCCCAAGCCGTTCAGGAGGATGCGGGCCTCCGGCTGCGTGTCTGTGTAGGCTCCGGGATGAAAAGCCAACTTCCATGCGGCGAACAACATGACATGGCTACTGGGACATGATGTGCATCTGAACACAGAATCGAAACTCTCGCGTCTTGGGCGTTTTGAAAATCTTGCAAGGGTCATGGCATCGGTCTTCCCCAAGAGATGGTGCTGGGTTTCGCAAGTCCGCTTTTAAGTGCAAGCCCGAGTCCTGGAATGTCAAGTCGAAGCAAAGCCAGAGCAGCCGCTCCTGGCTGTTCGAGAAGCAAACGCACCGCATCTAAAGAGATGCAGAGTGGAATGCCTGCGCTTCCTACAACCTCCAATGTCATCAAGGGGCCCTACCACGATTAAGAAGGACACAGTATATGTGAACATCGGGGAATTTGGGAGTCTCCGGATTTCTCCACCTCACCTCCAGCCTTTCTGCAAGCCCGCCTTTGAGAGGCCAGGGAACTCTTGTGCCAACCTGGGCATTGGTCACGTGGCTGAAGGAGTCGCTTCAGCTTTGCTGGAGTCTGTCAAAAAGGTTTTTCGTGGGTCGCGAGTTTGTCACTGTCACGACTTCCGGCTTGGAGGGCGCTCGGTATCGCGCTTGGTGGACCAACTAATTGCCAAACCCCGCGCTTTGCCAATGCCGCTGCTGCAAACATCCCACCGCATCAAGCTGAAGGCTGGAGTCAGAATGGAGCTCGGGGCTGTGCGCTTCGATTGATTGGGCTGCGGCCGAGCATGCACGATCTGGCCAGGGCGACAGCCGATTGTGACAGCTTTCAACATTTCAACAGCACACATTCCGCTGCATCTAAAAAGCTGCGCGCCTGCTTGCACGGCGAAGGTGCCGGCCTGAACCGGTGCTGAGAGGACGCCAGGGGCGATGACGGATGCATCACGCCTGAGAAATCAGTCTCCAAAGGCCTATCCCAAATGTTGGCCCAAATGGTTCGAACATGGTGAATCCGTGGAATAACTTGGAGCCCCCGCATCCGGTCATAGAAATAAGACTTCAGGACCACGCGCTGTGAACCTGCGAACGAGACCGGGGCTTTCGGCGTGTTTGCTTTACTTAGGACTTCCGGATACTTCAGGCAGTGTGCGGGTGGGCATTCGGAGCCAGTCATGTCTTAACCGCAGAAGACTTGACTGGACTTGCATGAAAAGGCAACTTTTTTGCTGAATTCCCTTCTTGATGTCAGGTGAGACAATGAAGCATGACAGGAAGTGCTTGGCTCTTAGGGTGGAAGGGGTTGAGCTGTTTGTGTAGACTGCCACAAATTGGCGGCGTGATCTCGCGCTGCAGCAGCGTGCATATTTCGCATTCCTGCCACAGCTTGATTGTAAGATAGTCGTCCTGCCGCTTTTTGCTGAGCTGTAAGCTGTGAAACATGAACAATTTCATTGTTGGTGAAGAGCTCCAAGCATCGTTTGCTCTTTGTCGACGTATATTTTGATGTCTTGAACTGGACGGTCATTCATGGTCGCCATTTTCCCGATGCGGATCATCGTGCGCATGCCACCAATGACCCTTCCGATAACACAGAACTTACCATCCAGAAACGGCAGCTCCCGCAGCGTGATGTAGAACTGGGATCCGAGAGTGTCCTGGACTGTTAGGTGCTGAACATGAAGCCTGCACGGGCCTAGAATGCCTCGAGGGCGGTGGTTAGCACTTGGTAAAAACCTGCCAAAACCTGTCCCGAGTCCTTGCCGTGACAACACATGCCCAGGAGACCGGGACGGTCGTGGGGCACGTGGAAGGACTCGTGCTTCAGCTGGCCACCGCCAGCTGCCTCGGAGTGCCTGCCCGAGCCATCGACGAGGTCTCCCGCCTGAACCCAGCATCCTGGCTTCACCCGGTGGATGGGGTGGCCATCAAACTTCGGGCTAGAAAGCAGCTGCATGAAATTCTTGGCCAGCTCGGGAGACTCTTCATCGAAGAGCTCAAGCTGGACTGTCTCCTTGGGCTCGTCTCCAATGGCGACCGTCAGCGCACAGTAGGATCGGCCCGTCTGCTCCTTGGTTGCCTTGATAGACTTCACTCCTGCTCGCCTGTAGAGCGTGAAACTTGTGTTGTCCTCATATTTGTATGTCAAAGCTGCCCAGTCCAAGAAGGTCTTCTCGCTGCGGAAGTACATGATTTTCTCCTCTGCCTCTGCGAAGATCAAGGGCGCGCTGGGCTTGGCTTGAGTGAAGCTCCCACCGTACTTGGCCACGAGGTGCTTCAAGTGCTGTTCGTACTGCGTCTCAAAGAAGCCTTCGACCGTAGCCTCCACAGTCTCCTGCTCGGAAGACAGGAAGTCCACCGCAGCCTTTAACTTCTGGAACGTCGGCTCCTGGATTTTCCCATACCTGGACTGCTGTCACTCATTAGATTAATTGCGGGGCACGGATCTTCCAAGACCCTCGGAGCACATCTCATAAACTCCAATGCGGCATTGCATTCCCAGGCCAAGACACAGGAAAAGGCGCACAGGTGCTGGCGGCTGCTTCTTTGCAGCCCGCTCTAGGGCCTCCCTCTTGGCCACGAGTCCAGCGGGTCCAGTCATCCTTCAGCAAAGCGATCCAACTGGATTTCTTGGGCCAGAGATATGCAGCAAGCGTTGCATGTTGCCCTGGGAGCTAACGGCACGCGTGACACTCTGCAACAAAGCACATATGTGGTTCAGAGCCTGTGCCCGGGCCAGCCCAGACTCCGGCCTGAAAGTCGCAAGCTGCTAGGCATTGGCTCCAAAGCCAGCGAAGTTTTGCTGCATAGCGGACGAGGTCCAGACAAAGCTGCAGTTGCCGAAAGCGGGGTTGCCTGTAACAGTTCAGTTGTGGCAGGCTGGGATGTTGCGTGAAATGGGGCTGTTGGATGCAGTTTCTCAAGGATCCAGGATTACCGGCGGCAAGCGTCTTGGCGACCTCCCACGAATGACTGCTAAGTGTCCGACTAGCTCTTCCCAGAAACTGCTCCTGCCAGGCCATAGAGTGCCATAGAGCAGGATTCTGTACCACCCTGACATGACGTTGACCTATGCGACCCTGCACAAGCCCGAAGACGAGGAAGCTCCTCCTATTCATGGGAGTTCAGGAATCGGAAGCTTTGGCGACCCCTGCCCTCCAGCCACCAAGAAAGACAAGCTTTCGGGAATCCTTGCGCCCCGGCTCTTGCAAGCATGGAAGATCTTTTCGCAGAAGGTAGTCCTGAGCTGGGCCGCAAGTGTAAAGTCGATTTCTGGGAGTGGCCATGGAGGTCCGGGGCTTCTTGGCAAAGGTTCGAAGTTTGCAAGCTTTCCACATCAACTAGTAGAAGTCTAGCAACATGACAACCTTGTCTACAGACTCCCAACAGGCATCCCAGATTGGATGCAAGATGAACTAAGACAGGTAAGGCAGTGGCAACTAATTCGACGCACGCCGGCTTATCGAGAGCCTCGGAGGAGGCACCGATCTCTCTCAGTGCTTCGATGGACATGGCAGATCGCACTTGTTCTGAGTGCCTTTCTGTCGTTTACATGCGGAATTTCTGGGTGTCTGACTCCTTTGGCCTCGAGCTGCGTGCGATAGTCACGCATGGATGCTCTCGCAGCATGGGGTAGGCCTTACTCCATCAGTTGGCATATCCTCAATGTGGCCAGCTTCCCAAAGCACGAAGAAACCACCAAAAGCAAGCATTGGGGAGCCGGCAAGGATGTCTTTCCAGCGCAAAGCCAGCCTGAGTTTGATCCCGAACAGCCCTGAATCAATGAACCTGACCTACTACCAGTCTTCACACCGAATCCTGGTTTGGACTGGGAATGAACTCGAATGCCAAACACGGTGGGACATTGGACATGCTCTCCACCGTTCAGGCTTTGAGCTGCAGCTTAACTCTCTTGTCCCTCTGGGCGCCTTCTCAGCGTGTTTGAAGCTCTTCACTTTGGCCTCGAGAGCGCGGTCGAGGCGCAAGGGCATGTCTCTGTGCGTCCTATGATGGCAAGTCTGCAGCAGTGGGAGGTCGCGAGTGCCAGCCCAGCCCGACGAAGCTCAGGCAAAGGCAGTGATCAACCCGTAGCCGATGTAGCTGTGCCTGGCGACATCGGAGTTGTTCTGGGCCACTTTCACGCACCCCAGCAAACTCAGCAGTTCCTGTCCATCAGCCAGGCAGGTGTGCATGCAAGACTCTATGAAACTCTGACCACACAAAACCTGCACGTCTGTGCCAAGATCACTCGGAAAAAAGCACCAGCATCCAAAGAACTGTTGGTCATGACAGACATGGCCGGTCATAACCGCGAAAGTTTGGCCTGTAGACATGGACATTTCCACCTGCAAGCTTGGCATGTGCTGCTGTGTAGGGTTGGCAGGAACCGATGAGCAGGCTTTGGATGCAGCCGTGAGCATGGAGAACCCACAGCTGGGTCATGGCATAAGTACTTCCCTGAGCTCTAGGCTTCCGAAAGGCAAGTTGATCCTCTGGATGTAGGCGTCCAGCAGCTGCCTTTGCAATAAGCGCCCAAACGCAGTAATTCCAAACCACTAAGCTGTACTTCAGCTCGGGTCGATCAGGTCCCACACCGTTTCGCCCTGGAGACGTCGTGATCTGCCAGGTAGTAGGCCATCCTCACATGCGCTCGGCACTGCATGTCATGGAGGCAAGAAATCCTTTACCTGTCAGCGCAAGCTCACCTGATGCCAACCTTGGACGCTGCCTTACATGCTTGTTCGCTAGACTACCACTACCTGGTCTTCCACAAGCTACTTTTGATAACACATTGGCCAGTGAATGGCCAGGAAAAGACAGGTGCATTCGGCGCGTGACGATGCGAAGCAGAAGATCCATTCAAGCAAACTGACCTTCCCACCCACACTCGGACAGCCAGCCAACGCAAGACGCAAACGGATGGTCAGATAGATAGTCACGCAAAATAACACCAACCCGACGAAACCGAACCTAACGCAGTCCTCACGTAATCAAGCTAGCCTATAGTCTGACTGACCTGACCCAAACCAGGCGAAAGCAACCTGCCGAACCCAAGCTAACCTGACCTAAACTTAGCTGCGACCAACCTACGAGGCGGGCCTTGGTACAACCTAAGCTGGCTCTACGTCAACCCATATTCAGAAAACAAATGTACGCTTCTAAGGCAACCTTATCAGATGTCACCCGGCCTAATCCAAGGCAAATTGGCCTCACATAGCTTGACCCATCGTATTGACTGCAGCCTAACCAAATCTAATTCCAAGCTGAATGAACTTGAGTTGAACTTCAGCTGAATGTTCAACCAACCTGATCTCATCCAAACGTAGGCCAACCTAAAGTACTTGACCTTTACCTCACCTGACCAAACCTGGTGTAACCTAGCTCAACCTGCATGTTAAAAGTACTGTAGCCCAACCTGAGCTAGAGTAAAATACTGGGACAAAGCCGGAACTAAAGGTATTTGGCTGCCCTCGAGCAAACTAAATTGATGTAAACCATTCAGCTCCCACTTAAGCCTTAAGATAACCAAACTTATGTATCCTGACACGGCAGGCAAAGGACGCAACAAAGACTTGCTTTAGAGCGTTTGGTTGAGGATAGAGAAACCCGCAGCAAGGAGCCATGGCCCTGTAGTGCAAAAATGGTCGCGTTCGTGAGGGGTGAGGTCCTTTAACTGAGCCGTGCAGGCCTGGTGACAGAAATTTCCACAAAAATCCCTAAGGGTCCATGTGCCCAAATAGTATAGACTTGGGCCCCAAAGTGCCCAAATAGGGACTAGGCCAAAGCGTCTGCAGGGTCGCCCCTCCGAGGTCCATCACGGCTACTGGATCTCGGACCTTGCAAGGCTCAGGCAGAAAGTCGCTGTCCAAGATTTGCGTTTAGAAAGCTTCAGCCACTGTGGTAATACGAGGATCGCAACTTCTGCTCCCCTGTAGACCACTTGAACTTCCTTGTTTCTCAGGGGGCTCAGGGAGTCAGAGGCACTGAAACACAGCAAACACTATTGCAGATTTCAGATTTAGAGCCAGCACGAGGCTCCTTGCCATCGCAGTGGCAGTTTTCGCTGTCCCCAAAGTCCCATCAACAGCAGCCCGGGCTGTGTCCTCGAGGCCCTGGCCCCTTGCATGCCAGGTTTGAAGACGCTCATGAGCATGTTCACCGTGAGCCACTCCTGAGGCCGAGCCCCACGACATGGATTCATAGAGCTCCTCAGTATACTCAAACTAAGTACACTACCCGCAGTACTGAAGCAACTTGAGGATTGGAATCCGAGGTTTTCGGGGATCCTGTTCAAGCTCCTCCAAGCCTCGGCCTCCCCTTCGAAGTAAAACCCCCCGTGCCTCGGCCCAAGCCCAAGCCTAGAGTCGATCCCAAACCTACTTTGCCAGGCGTCGGCGGCTGCCTCTGCATCCCCAGACATGGCTTGTACGCCACCGTCCTGGTCGGTTGATATACAAGCGGGTCGTTGACACTTTTTCATAAAGGAGTGTTTTCGGCTCCGTTCTCGCCAACGACTGGCCATGGCTTGTGGGCTGGGCGATGAGGACCCGAACTTGCAAGAACACCGGCTGCAGCGCCCCGCCTTGAAGCCAGCATGGGACACAATGTGCTTCATTCCCTCCATGAGGTCTTGGACCTGGCAACAGCCAGTTACTGGCTCCAAAGGAGCTTCAGATGTTCATGTTCAGTTTGATGTTTTGGGACTGTCTTGGGCTACCAGCACTGGTCATATTTCTGACTTGGCCAGCGGAACGACCAAAGATGTATCCACGGTTCAGAAAGTTGAACGTGCACAGCGCATGCGATCTGTGGTATTGCCAAAGCACAAATCTTGCCATAGCCATCTAAACAGCCCATAAAGCCCCAATGTGTGTCTGGCAGGACGGCCCTCGCCTGGCCTGGTCCATGTCCAGTTGCTCAAGGGAGGTCGTTGCGCGTACGGACAGTGGTGTCACGCCTCTCGATGTCATCTCTACAGCTCGGATTTTATAGGCTTAAATGCTCGACGTTTGTGTCTTTGTCGGCTTCCTTTACAGCAGCTTCGGACCGGAGGTCGGCTGTCAAGAGTTGTCCCTGGGCATCCAAATTCCAGAAACGTGAAGAACATAGCTTTTGATGGAAGGCAACCAACCATCCATGATACGCTGGAATCTCTTCGACTTCGCGCGCACTAGCAGCATGCTTGTAGAGAACTAGGTGGGATTTTCAGGATGTTTTGGATCTGAACCGATGTTGCAGTTCCTGCTGCTCTGCATTTCGCCGGCTGAAGCACTGCAGCCTCTTTGTGCGTGAGGCACCGCTGCCACCGCCGCATCCAACAGCCTGCACCAACTTCAAACAATATCTGCGTGCAATCCTTACCAAAACCGGACCACCGCCCGCACGACGATAGTTGAATGAATCTACAATTAATTTGTTTAACTGGGATGCACGTATGCATGAACGGTTCATGAACGTATATATATATATATATCAAACATTAAGCACGGCCATGTGTGGTTGACGCTGATGAACACAACTCTGGTATACGTCCCACAGGAGAATATGGCACTAAGTGTTTTCTCCATCTTCTGTTGCGAAGGTATCCTGCTCAGTCAATGGTTTAACAGCCTAACAACTGGGACCGGCCAAGTCTGAACAAATCTCATCCATACGCGAGAAGATGCTCATGTGCACTTCTGGGTTTCCAGGCCCCACGCGGCGCATTTTGTCAGCTGGAGAAGTTGCACTTTCCCAACAGTGCATGGCAACAAACATGAAGCAAACGGCCTTTCCATTTGCTGCTGCAAAGCGCCTTGGGTGGCAGGCAGCATGTTCTATCGGAGATGGCTTTCTGCTCCAGCAGCTTGCATCATGAGCGATCCCTGCTGGGCTCTGAGCTGGCATTTTCAAACAGATCGCTGATGCCAGGTTCTTCCTCCAGAAAGACCTGCCAGCTTGCTTTCTCCGCGACAAGCTTTCGTACCACAGTCATATCGGCAACAGCCCTTGCCAGCCAGAACGCCAGAGCAAAAACACCCTGCATTCAGGTCCGAAGGCTCCGGATAACACCGATGTGAAGGTTCTGATTCAAGTAGTAAAGGAATCGCTGCTTCGTTGACCACTGAAGTAGAAGAGTCGCCGTGCTGAGCTGCAACGAAGGACCATGAATCTCACATCCCGAAAGTATGAGTCGTGAACAAGCTCATGTGCTCGGGCAAGCCGTTCTCTTGACCCCTGTGCATCTGCACGAACGCTGAGGCATAAGCCAGGTCATCAGCCTAAACCATTTCCGAGCAACAGCATGGATAGTGGGCCTGATGTATCTTAAGTTGTCAAATTAAAGCAGCTGCTGCAGGGATCATTGTCAACATGCTGCAGGTCCTTTACGGATTTGGTGTAGTCCTACCTACTTTAGCAGCACCAGACGGTTTTAACTGTGGGAACTCTGCACGGTGGCCGGTGCACCTGAGCCCGGCCGTCGATGTCGAGGAGCTTCATGGTCCAAGCATCGAAGCGGAAAACATTCAGCCGGGTGGCGGCTGAGCCCGCATCGATCACCACACCTGAGGTGCAAGGAAACCTACTGCAACCTCATGCGGCTCCATGCTTTCTGATGCTTTTCAACGAGTGAATCGAAGAAGAAAGAATGGGGCGTTCTTGTCACTGTGTGCGAATCGGGCCTCTTTATTCTGGTGCGAGGTCAGGCCATGTCCCATCAGGCGACATGCAGGAGTGGTAGCCCGCGACAGCGGAGCACGAATAGAAGGATGGCTAGAGCAATACGCAAACTTGCAGATGCATCCCATCCGTCACCAAGTCAAGAACCCATTGGCCACACGATTTGGCGCTAGCACGCACACTCTGCACTATTCAATGCTTGGTGTATGGAGTGTACGGGTCTTGAGGTCAAAAGGATGAAACATGATCAGAACATACAGTCAGCAAGAAGTATTTCTCGCTTCACCCGCCTTTAGCAGCTTGCTAAACATCTCGCCATTTCCAGGCACGCCATGCGACATCACCACTTCTGTAAAAGATTCTCCTTCTTGCATTTGTGTAGCTGAAAGCCGAAGGCCCAAAACCACCAGCCAGAAAGCGCAGGACGATGAAAGAGGAGCTGGTCAAGAGAAGCACGGCGAAGCGCCTGCGAGGCCACACTCGCACGACCCTAGCGGTTTTTCAGCGGCCTTACCCTGCTGCTAATCTCTCCTTATCCTCACTGAAATCTCCCCCCGGATTAACAAGTCAAGCAGGTCCCGAAGACAACATACTGGCAAGAAGTATCCGTTTTACAACAAAAAGGCTGCAGTCCTACTGGGAAACTCCCAGGCCCATGCCGCCTCGAGGAGCCGCCTGCGCCGAAGCGCTCGGCCGAGACGGAGCAAACAAAAAGCAGAAGCCCGGCCATGTGGTAGCCTGATCGGAGCCGTGAGTAAACATCGAGGTCTACTCCATGTGCGTCACAGACATGGGGTTTGTAGTGCCAGTGCCAGAATGAATGGCACAGCAGAGGCCCATGATCAGTGTAGCCCAGTGACCGTTCCACGGCTTCCCAAAGACGAGAAACGACACGCAAATGGTCGTCACTTTTCCTAAGATGAACATGCGTCATTGCTGCGTCATGGTGCCAAGAAGTAGCTGCAGCAACCGGGAAGCCGGTACTAGTATGTGCGCCATTGCATGTTGCAGAAGCAAGCCATTCCTGCTTCAAAGACATGAACCCCGTCGCCGTCCTGTACTGTCGCTTGGAACTGAATCGATCTGCATGAGTTCGGCATAAGGCTCCAAACAAGCCCATTTGCAGTCGTCAATGCCCGGAAGCTTTGGTTCAATCGTTATACGGTATATACGACACATTAGACTCTAAGCCATCTTAGCGTCGACAGCTCTTGACAATCTCCGAGACCGTGGCCCCGAAGTGCTTGATAAGCAGCCTCAGCCATCGGACCAGGCGCAAACAATCAAATGGGGCATCATGACGACAGCTTCCCTTTGCAATTATCTGTAATTTCTGCAACCTCCTTTCTGGATGGGCATCGGAGTCTTGTCTCCGCGGCGAGGCGGGGAAGTTTGGCCCCCACTCAATTCAGAAAAGACCGAGGCAACATGCCAGCCAATGCTGAAGTGGAACAGGACTCCGCTCTGCGCCACGTAGCCAAAGAGGGAGGCCTGCTCCGACTCTCTATGTGTATTGGGACAAGACAGTAACGAGCCTGTACAGGATTTTCTTGCTTGACTTGTGAGCTGCAGTTTGGACTGTGCAGCCCAGGCACGAAAACAATCATTGGCACCTCAGAGTGTAGACTGGCACATCCTCAAATCACTTTCGCTACAAACCCCGCATGCCTGGATTTCTATTCGAGTCCTGGCGACTGGTTGCATCTAAGTGTTAGCTATTATATGCTATCATGTCATGTCCCATGCTATGTTGCATCCGAGCTCTATAGATAGCTTTGTGATTCGACGAACGTTCGGAGCGCCAGGGCGCTGTCTCCCAATGGTCCGCAGAGTGACGTACAGCAGAGAGCAGCTCCCCTGTGAGCAGTGAGGCGATCACGGCCCAAACCTCACTGCAACTGCATGCGTGTTCAGCATGCCTCTGCTTGGAGTGACTACTGATCAAAGGGATCTGCACGGTACATGGAACTGACTACCGCTCAGCCTCCAAGTCTTGGCTGTTCCGCCGGGTGGCACTGCCGAGAAGGTTGCTGAAAAGTACCACCTCGTTTGCCGAACAGCCCATCCTCAGATTAGAAGCCGCGAAACACAGGTCAAGAAGATTCTCGCACTTGCAAAGAGCTGGACCCGGATCAAAGGCTGAAGGTTCGAGGCTCACAATCACTGATGGGCCCCCTCACAGAGCCTTCTGCCATCCAGTCCAGTAACAGCAACAGTGCAGCATTCTCTTCTAACACTGCTGGCCCCTCTTTCACATTCAGTCCACCAGAGTGTGGGACGATGGGACTACCATGAAAGAACCGGTCTGCGAAAGTCCAAGAAGAAATGAAGGTTTGCTAATGCGGAACTGGCATGTCGAGGATCTGGACGAAAAAACGCTTTTCCTCATAGCTGGCAGCCATCGCATCGGCCAAAGAACCCACACAAATGAAAACGATGCCAACAGGGTCGAAAAGAGCTTTGCCTGGCAACTTCTGCAAGGATACTCTGTGTCTCCCTTGTGACTCGCAACACTGGGCTCATGAGCATACCACTTCATATCACTGCGTGGAGGCTGGTGCACAAACGCCAGTGACAGTTCGGGCCTTTCGCATCACCCAACGTAAAGACAATGACGCCTGCAGAACGGGTAAGAAATCTGCAACTCATTGGCTTTACTGCTGAACTGATTGTTGGGTCCGGTGTTGCAGGAAGACCGTACACAAAGAAAGTCGGATCCGTGCCTGCAGTCAGCAGAACCACGGCCATGTATTGAGAGACGGTGTACCGCTTCTTCCTCAGCTTGCAATGGCACTGCAACAGCTAACAGAAGCCAAAAACATGTTAAGATGCACGAAGTGCACCCAAGTGACAGGTACAGCACACTCAGCACCATGACAGGGATGAGCTTGCTCGATTTGAACACAACCCGGAGAGGATAACTGAGATAGTGTAGACCTCAGCATGAACGGATGTGCCTGATTTCTCTCATCCTTCGGTGGACACTTCTTGCCGCCTCAATTTGGATTTTGTGTAATGCAACTGCAGCCTGAACTGCCAGGGAGCTGAAATTCGTGCAGTACATCCCGCACATGGTCAGCAATGACAGCTTCAGGTAGTCATTGGCGGAACCGTGAAGTTGCCTCTGTCTGTCAGAGCTAGCACCCGCTACCCCATCGGTTCGCCTGGAATCGGCATGCTACGGTGACCAATGTGACAAAGCTGAATGAGGCATTCCGTGGCGTTTCTGCTCCAGCACAAGGCATGAAGATATTTTTGGCAACCTCTAATGCAACCAAGCATGACAGGGCATTCTGTGGAAGTCACCTGTCGGCTTCGCAGCGTCGTTCGACAAGGGAGAAGCCGGTGTATGAAACAGAAGTGATAAGTGCCAGCCATCCTCCACACTTCACATGCAGGCCTATAGGCAGAAATCGCTACGGCATGCAAGTCCCAGCTTGGGATGTTCTCTGCACGGACAATGCAAATTTGCAGACCCTGGCAGGCTCCTGTGTACCGGAAGCCGGGAACATACAGCACGCGCTCTTGGAGGCCCGCCAGGCAAACGCTGCAGGACAAGACCTGCAGGACCGCACTGATCCCTCGCCCAGCATGACGGAACGTAGCTGTCTCGGGAGCGTTCTGCACGCACGCGCTCCCTGCATTTCTGACTCGCCCGGGTACTGTTACCTGTGACTTCTTGCTATTTACTGGGTTTGGTTTTCTGGGTTAAGCTTTGGGGATTCCGACCTTTCTGGCATTTTCGGGAGTCCCGAATGACAGGTAGTCACAAATGGTTGGAGTGCCCACCCTGCTTCACAATCCGGGCCCAGGCGCAATGCTCGCCAGGAGGAAGAGCTGGCTCAAACTCTCGGCGCAAACGCGGTGCAGTGGAAGGCCCAGCAGCCACAAGCGAAGCTCCCTCAAGGGACGCGAGAAATGGTTGATGAGGATTTGGGGCCTTT